CAATTAGGACTGGTACAGGAACTGAGAAAGCCAGAAATACACCAAATATTAGCAGATTTACATATCACCCCTTCTTACCTCCCTAAATATCTGCTACCCCATGCTGCTGGGGCTCTGTCCCTGCCAGCTTCATTCTGCTCTGGAAATCATACCGTCCGTTCTTGCTGCAGCACTCACTGATAGATCCCATTATAAGGGCATATATGCCACTTAATCAAACAGCCTCATCATACTATATGATGTACTGTATTCACTTTGGGGAACGTCATGTGAATACTGATTCGCAACATTTGGCCCGTATTCTTATTCCTACTAATCGCAATTTACTTCAGAAACAGACACACTGATTTTGCTTTCCCAGCACAGCAATTTTTCTGGTTCTCTCTTCAATACTTTCACACGCTTACGCCCAACTTATCTGCTGATCTCAATAGTCAAGACAATTGTTAGGTAATAAACTCTTTTAAATGATCTAGCAACTGGGAATGAGTGCCAGTTGACAATTTTTTTTTCTCTGAAACACAAACCCTTTATTTCTGTATCATGTATTTTCCAAAATTACTCTTGCAATCTATTAATCTTTTTAACCCTGATTTTAATTTTTTCTAGTCATCTGTTTAAGCACCTCACAGAGACAACTTAGTATGAGCATCTGAGATGACTCTTGCTGTGTCACTTTTCTTTGCTGCTGCTGTCTCATAATGTCTCACTTTATTGCTGGCTATTAATTTTTAAGATAGCTTTATGTTCCTTATTAACAACTTATTTCTCAAAAGATAAAAATGATGCTGTTGCAATCACAGGTTCTGTAGAAATATAACATCCAAAAATGAGGACAGAAGCTTGTTTCTGAGGGATTATATTTCTTTCTCAAATCCTATACAGAAATAAGTTTCTCATTCTTTCCCTCTTGTCTATATTGTTTGGATAACACATATTTCCAATTTATAAAAAATAAAAAAGGCCACCAACCAGGGCACTACCACGCATTATTCCAGAGGATGACAGAGGATATCAGTCCGAGTAATTTTCATGCTTTCAAACTTCCTTTTTGCCTCTAAAAGGCAGAATAATGTAGGTCACTTTTAATGAGGAGCCCTGTGTGTGGCTTTCCCCACACACTACACAGCAACTGGGCACTTACGAGTTCATGTTCTCCCTGCATCATCACTGTATTTTGTCATTTTTCAACAGGGCTGACTTTTGCCCTCAATGCTGGGCACTTTCATATGGTGAAGTCTCTTGGCTGCCTCATTAACTCTGAATCAGTGTGTGCCCTTGCATTTTACTGTATCATTTCCTCCAGCATTCAATATGCTGCAGTTTAAACAGCCTCTGGCTAGAAACATCTTAAAACATCATGATGAAATTACTTTCTTGACAACATACAAGTCAATTACAGGGTAATTAAAACATATACTAATCTATTCCCTTGTTTGGTAATGGTATCTTAGTTAAGATCATCCACTGCATACTTGTATGGTATCTGTGAAATCTTTTGCTATTAATTGTAAGCTGCTGTCCACAGCACCTGTTTTTCTCTGAAAGGCACAGGAATTACAATACCTGTTCTCTTCTAGTTTTGCAAACATGAGGAATTAAAGTGGTACAAGATGTTTCAAATTTAAGGTGTCCACTTTTCAGTGCTTGACTTCCCAGGCATTTCAATGGCTTTCTGGGAGGATTTGGAAGAAACCTGGCAGCTGGAAGGTGTATGCTCTTGCCTTGCTGCCCTACATCATATCAGACTCCTGGTTTCCAGCACAAGCCTCTTATCCCTCCGCAAGGGAAGAGTTAAACTCCCTTGACTTCACTCTGCTCCCTACCTTTACCCTACTCCCTCTCTGTCCCATTCTCCTCTTTGCTGCCACATCACACAGAATCACAGAATGTTAGGGACTGGAAGGGGCCTTGAGAGATCATCTAGTCCAACCCCCTGCCAGAGCAGGATCACCTACAGTAGGTCACACAGGAACGTGTCCAGGAAGGTTTTGAATGTCTCCAGAGAAGGAGACTCCACAACCTCTCTGGAAAGCCTGTTCTAGTGTCCTGTCCATCTTCACCATCTCCACATCTACCATCCAAGCCCTTCTGTCTTTCCTCACCGCTCAGCAAACCAGTGAGGACCCGAAGGCAGCATCCTGCTGTGCCAGGCTGCAGAGCCAAGCAACTCCCCTGCCCATCTGCCAACTGTGCTCACAAAACGAGTCCCCAGTATTTACACCTTTAGACACATGGGCTCAGTGGTTCCCTTAATCCCCCTTCACCCCACTCCTTAAACCCCCCTGCTCTCCTCTGCCCCGCAGCACTCATCCTCACCCTCCTGTGCCCTGGGGGTCTGGGGATGAGGGACAGGGACCTGCCAGAAAGGAGAAAGGGACAGGCTACGTCTGTGGGAGAAGGAGGATGGAGCTGAAGGACAGGGGACTGTAGAGGGTCCAGACTTTCAGGGACAGCAGCAGCAGCCTGAGGAAGCCATTCCTGTGAGAATCACCGGGCTGGTGGTGCATCAGAAGAGCACTAAATACTAATCAGGTTGACATTAGGCAGCCTGTCCCACGTTCTGCACTGCAGCAGAGCTAATGGGTTTCAGCAGCCCTATGCTCTCCGCATACCTGCAATTCAACACGCTGCCCAGAGCGATATGGTGAGTGCTAAAAGTAAAATACAGCTTATGCAATCAAGTAACAAACAGTGTTGAAGTGAAGTGTCCTGTATTCTTGATCACTTTAAAATATTTTTGTTACCATGTAATGTCAATATAAGGTAAAAAAACCCCCAAAAACAACAACAAAAAACCCCAACAAAATAAATCCAACAGCTGTATACAAGTTGGATTTAAATGAAATTTCTCAAGCCAATGTGCACTGTATATATTTGTTTAAAATAAACTGTTAGAACAGCCCCTTTGCAGTTCAGAGATGGATGGAGAATTGTAAGAGATACACATCCTTCATCACCAACTTCCTTCTAGGGCTAAGTCCCTTAATTTACTTGAACTTCAGCTATTTTTTTCCTTAAAACAGAGATAACTTCTGCCTGCAGTGATGCCATGATGATAATCCATCTGGTATTTGCCAACACACAGAAGACTTTATTCTAATAAGTGAGATGTACAGAAATCAGGACAACACCAACCAATCCTGTCTATATTCTTCCTCACAGCCCTGCCCAGTTTCATTTTTGGCTAGAAAAGTAGGTCAAATCACTGAAAAATAGTTGTTTGAGGGGAAAAAACAGCTTTTAACTTATCTGTATATAAACACCCTTCTTTTTCCAAATCAGTACTCTTAAAACAGACAGGCAGTGTAACTGGGGACTCTCCAGAGCAAAATGTGAAGGCAGCCTCTCAGTCTGTTCCTTAATCAGTAAAGGTTCAATACAAGAGGAATAATTCATGTGGCCAGCAATTGATTCTCGCTCAGTAAGCCCCAGGGGAGAATTTTAACCGTGGAAAGCTCACCTTCTTCTGGGACATGCTAAAATAGGGAGGTGGTTCCTTCTGAATGTCTTTTGGGCAGATTACAAAGCAAAGCTTGGATGCTCATCTTGTTCTCAGCACACACTTGCAGTTCTGGGCAGGACCTCTGGCTGTGGGCATACGCTGCCCCTGCAGCTTCCCCCTGCCACATAGAGTAATTACTTTCTTTTCATTAATTGGTCTTAATGCATGCATGCACATCCACAAATCAAGCGACCCACTGCTGCGACTGCAGCAGTTTTGGCTTGGAAGTCACGCTTGCCTGGGTTTGTAAAGCCAACAGCCCACTACCACCAGCACCAGCTTTGCCCAAGGAGGAGTATCTGTGGGGTGTACGCAAATTTTGGGGGGCTCAGCTTTCCCCAGCAAGTTGCAGGGGTTCTGTGCTCCAATTGCAAACTGGGCCAGCCACGGCAGTTAGCTGGCATTTCTGGAAGTGAACACACCGGTACAAACAGTGTAATGATGGTGATATATTAATGCTGTACCGATGTCAATGAAACATTACCATCAATTTAAGCAGGCAGTATGGCTGATTTATAAGCCAATATATAACCAAATATAGCACAGGAGATGTTTGGAAAAACAAGTATGTGGAATAGGCATGACAAATAGTAAAGCTTTACTAAGGGATGATTTCTGCGCTCTCTCTCTCCCAAGACAGTGATATTTTCCTCATCCAAGCAGGAACACAGATAAACAGGCTGTAAACTTGTCCAGTTACCCTGTGGTTTGTGCTTTGGCAGAAATGACCGATGATTTTTGTACATGAGTGAAATGTTTTAACTTATACCCCTGCCTGGGGTTTGCTATGGGAAAGCAGTCACCTTATAAGTTACATTGCAGGGACTAATCAGAGGGATAAATCCAGCATGTAACAAAAACAGTTGTCTGAGCAACCCATTCAATCCAACTGATTTGGATTCTTACAGGAAACACGTCAGCACACTATCTGGTAATGCAAAACAAAATAAGAAAAAAAGAGTGAGGGAGGGAAAGTCTTCATGCCTAATTTGTCACCTAAGGCTGATGAACACCAATGCGAAAGCTGCAGAAAATTAAGTGATAACCTGTAAACACTTCATCCAGGCAAAAGTGAATATGCAGTTGGCATTTACATTAAAAACTCTAGTCTGTTGAGTATCTGTCTCCTCATTCTCTTTAAAAATAACTTTTTTTTTTTCCACCAAAAAGGCCTCAGCCTTATCTACCCGATACCAGTGGTGGTTTTAGACACTGTGCTACAGACTCAATTTGGACACCTAAAGCTCTTGGCTCATTAAGATTGTAAAGTCAAACTAGTCAGAGATAAAATCAATTAAGTTTGGCAAAATCACTTTTAAGGCGCTTTGTGTTTTTCCAATTATCACTACAAGTGCCCATAATGGATTATATAAAAAAGTGAGTATTTATGTACTTAAGTGCTTAATGTAGCCCATCTACATCTATCTTCAGCCAGGGCTGACAGTCATGATCCTCTCTGCACAGTAAACATGCCGGGGTACCATCAGCCTCCTACCTTGGCTCCATCCACACTGATAATCCGATAGCTGTTTCTTGTGCTGTCATAGAAGTAGGAAACAGTTACAGCCTGCTTGCTTGCGGGAACCCAGTTCTTCTTCGTGCTGGGGTCAATTTGGAAGACATGGGCTCTGGTGGTGAAGATGGGCTGTTCTCTGGAATAGGGAGGGACAGGAGAAATGGATGCATGAGTCTGCGGAAGATGAAATGTCCCAGAAGCCCAGCCTTGACTAGGCACGTTGAAAGCACAAGACAGAGAATGCCTGGCAATCCCCCAAGTGAAAAGGCAGAGCAGTGACGCTGCCGAGCCACAATCGAGCCTTGGGTACCTCTCCTTGGCATCACTAAGTGACATTCAGTGCCCTAAAGTTATTGCCGTAGCCCAGGAAGAAATTGGCTTTTTCATCCCCATATTATGCTTAGTACCCACCTTTTCCTCAAAATATTTATTTCCAGGAAAGGACACTTACATGCATTCTTTCTTTCCCCATCCACAAATTTTGCCAAAAGCAACAACAAGCCCCCCACAACTGGATTTCCTCCTGCTGTGAACCGCTACCTACAGCGGAGGTTCCTCTGTGAATGCACCAAGGACTCCAGTGACCTACAGGCATGGTATAATTACTGAAATATTAATCTCTATCCTTAGAATCCCACTGTTCTGGGGATGTGCATGAAAATTTCATCAGATTTAAAAACAGTCAATCATCCTGGGGAGGGGGAAAAGAAACACAATCAGAACCCTGTGTTGATATATCTCGCCTTTCAGTTCAACTCCCAGTGGATGACGTACTGCCCCTGACACCCTACCCCTAACACCAGCCCTTCTCAGATGCTTTTTCTCATCAAGAAAATTGTGCACAGGGTGGAGGGGTTTTGTTTTACTTTCAACACGTGACAATGCAAATCACACGTAGAAGCAAAGGAGATGCAGGACCAGAAGAACAAAACATGATACACGCAAAGTCACCTAGGTCACAGATCAGAAGTAAGACCTACTCAGAGGCCATAAAACTAAATTAGCTTCCAACTATACCTTTAATCCAAGTTTAGAAGTAGAAGTGAAATGCAAATGAAGCTCTACTGTGCTTTTGTATACATTTTTGTGCTTTTAGTTCTTAAAATCTACATTATATAATGGTCTGTATTAAGTGTACCACTCAATATATTCTTATCACATACCAAATATTATATCATGAATAGTTACACTTGACAGAATTACAACAGGATTCAAAAACAATTGTACTACAATAGAGTTACCACCCAAAAACGTTTACCACATGGAAACTGAAAAGGTTGCCAGGCTGAATTTTGCACAAAGCAAATGAAAAGAGGTAGGTGAAAGGTCAGAGAGATCTCTCACTCTCATATGCTATTTTTTCCTGTTTGTATAAATAATTCTCCTCTATTATTCTTGGTCTCATAGTTTTGGAATTATGTTTTTATGAAGATTTCTATAATCTTCAGCTCCTTGTATAACTACTTGTGCGTTTTTAGAACAGAACAATTTCAGGTACTGTATGTAGGAACTGTATCAAACCTCCCACATGGTCTTGATCATTGCAGTTAAATTAAAATCGAGGGGAGTAAATTTATTAATATCAAACAGATTAAGTGATTTAAGTGTAGAATTAGCTCAGAAAAGATGGAGTGAGCTTGCAAAGCCTCTTTGGAGAGAAAGATGGAGTGAGCTGCAAAGCAAGACCTCAGGAGGGAGAAAATGAAACAATGGTTTTCTCCTTGCAAGACATAGACAAAATTTTACATTTTCCCAGGGGCTGCCATACAGGTTTCTGGATGGACAGTTGTGCTGAACCCTGTAAAATACTTGTATGAATGAAACTGAACTTACAATGGGACTGTCATGTTACAGCTGTGAAAGAATAGCATCTGCTTCAGCTCTTCCTTATCAGTAACTCACTGAACCTGACCCTCATTTCACACCCTAAGATCAATGTCATCCTCAGCTGGGAGGAAAGAAGGGGCAGGTCTCTGCAACATTTTAAAAATATTTCCATCATTCATTACACAAGATTAGCAGCATTAACGCCCATGAAGGTCGTGGAGTTTGTAATAAGGAATGCAGGGAAGGGAAGTTTCCCCCAAGCTGCTTACTCTTTTACTCCAAAAATATCTACTTTCCCTGCATGTAGAATAATTTTGAATTTATTTCGCCTTTTACTTAGCTCTATATTTTTTGAGGATTCCACTAAGAATTGTTTTTTGCTAATGGTAATGTGACCTATATATTGCAGTCTAAACTTTCAGAAGTTTCCTCAAACAACTTTAACTCTGGTAACTCATCTTAGCAATACCAGAAAACACCGTTAAAACTATGCCTGGCCTCTTTGCAGCAGGAGCAGTAAGCATACAAAGTAAATCTGGAGACAACGAAGGTAGAATGAAGGGGAAAACTATCTATCTCAATTTTTTCAGGAGTCTTGTAGCAGCTAGTTTTGTCAACAGGAGCTCCATACGTGGATCCAAGTGGATAAATTAACAGATAATGAAGTTCAGAGCTTGAGATCGCTGTCCATCCATTCATGTGGGGCTTTTATTAAAAAGTAAAGGCAAAATCTAACTGTGTTTCTGATCCTTATGATTATTAAACAAAAAAAAGTGCATTTTGTCTTCCTGGGTGCAAACAGCAGCCCTATCACTCACAGTGATACCATGCTAGTTAAATTATTTTTTAAAAAAGGCAATGTGATGTGTAAACTTAAGCATTTTAACCCATTCAAGATAAGTGAGCTGTTGACCTTTCGTTGAGTCTCAAATTTAGAAAGACCAGCTGGTTGCTCTCCACATATGCCTTTGACCTTTCCACCGTAGGTGGTTCCACCAGGCAGCCAAGGTCCAGGATCGATTTTTGAGCCACTGGAGCATGCGAAGCGCCTCCAGAACACAACCTCCTGGAAGGATTTCCCAGTGTTGGCTCGTAATAATTAAGAGAAGAAGATGCATTTCTATGGCCATGCCTGCCCACTGCACTCCCTGCTGCCGAATGCACCTGGGATCCACCCCATGGCACCCAAACCCATCAGCAGGACCCATCAGCCAGCACTGCTGGCGCTGGCAGCCACTGCCACCATGCCTTCCCTGGCACCATGGTAGGTCTGCAAAGCCAACAGCGTTAACAACTGCAGTGGTGCAGCGTTTAACACGAGGGGAAATATCCTCCTTCATTGCATCCCAAACCCCTTTGACCTGTGAAGCACACACAGGCAACTATAAAACTGTGGCACTCAATTTTCAGATGCAACACTGAATTAGACACTGTCACAACACTTACCATGACCTTACAGAGCTCCAAATCGAGAAGGATTATTCTGTGTTACTTGCAACTTTGATGTTAAAGAAAGCACTTGACTGATAGAGGAATGACTTCATTCCAGACACCAGGATTTCTTTCCTTTTCATTTTAACAGAGGTTTATCAAGTTTTATGCTTAAAACAACAGCAATCCTAAATTGGAATTCCCACAGTACATCCTGCGTCGTTTGATGGCTGAACCCCTGTAAGCTGCTTGTTACACGGGACTGCCAGTTTGCCCAGGGAGGCAGAGAGCAGCCAACCAGCCAGGCTGCGAACTCGTATATCAGAAGACAAAGAGAATTTATGAATGTTTAAAATCTCATTAATTTTAACCAAAGTTGTTAATGCTTGATTAAATACTTTTTTTTAAAAAAAAAAAAAAAAACCTGTTTAAAAATCAATCTGACAGTAACATCCACTGTTTAGAGTAAAGCTGCTTGAAATGTAGCAAATGGAGACCTAAATTATAGCTAATAGTTCTTTGTTTAATAATGCAGATTAAGACAGAAAATGCACTTTGATAAGCTTTTTAAATTATTAAATATGGCCAGCATGTTTTATAAATATGACTGTAATTTTCAAGTCACAGTTTTACGCATTTTAGTTGACTTTTAATTTCCATCCTTATGCCATGTGAGACAAATCTCAAGTAAAAAGCAATCATTCTCCATTAATGTAGAAATAAATCATTAACCTTTTCTGAAGAGTTTAAAAAAAAGCAAAAACTAAGGCTCTGGAGCTAAGTAACTGTATCCACAGCTGTGCGAGACCAGACGTATTTTTCTGGTTAATACATAACCATGCCAAATTTTACAAGTGTGTGAATAGCTGCAAGCCATGTGTTTTATATTACCCTTCCTAATCAACGGGAATGAGCTCTCACTTAGAAAAAGTTCAAATTATTTAATTCAAAGTTCCTTGTTTATCATTTGAATCATGAGCACAACCAGTGATTTAAATCACTTCAGCTGTAAACACTCTTTGCTGACTGTCAGCCAGCACCGTAAGGGCTGTGGGATATTGGGATGGAGCCGCGGTACAGCAAGCCCCACCTGGGAGAGCCCCAGACCCTGGACCTCAGCCACACGTTGGTCTGGCTCCGGTTCCGAACAAGACACTGATGATGCGAACACTTCTGTATTTGAGCAATCTTTTTGGTAATACGCACAACACAGTGACTCGTGTGGGTCCCTGCAGGACCAGCACCCAAGTTCTTTTAAACATGCAAAGTGTCTGAGGCACATAAGGTGGACACAGCACTGACCTAGTTGTAAATAGAACAAAGCAGCTCCTTTACTTGTTGCAGGATCTGGAACATCAAACATATTTGTGACACAAGCTGAAGTACTCCACCAGAGGCAAACCCACTACTTGCACATTTTGATAAAACTTTTAGTAACAGATCACATAAAATTCTTCCTGAAGAGGATTCCTAGTTTACAGGACAGGATTATTTGTGTTCTCCCTACACTAACACTAGACAGTTTTGTACTAACTGTCTAATTTACCAATTCAAATGAATACTTTTTTTTAAGGATACATCCTCATACAGTTGCCGTTTGGTGGAGGATGCACATGCCCCCAGACAATGTGTCAGAGTAGAGTTTTTGGAACGTGACGCTTCCTGCTACAGGCCAGCTTCATGCACACGCTGAGGTTTATGCTACCTGACAGCGCCAGCAGATCGGCGGTGTTTGCCATAACAACTATTAGATAATGAGGAACTTTCAGGAAAAAAGAGCAGGTATGAATGCAAAATCCTACATTGTGACATACCCCCCCACACTACTGGTCATGATACAAAAACTTGTATTTGGCTCAACGCAACATGATAAACTTG